TGCTATAGGGCGCGTGCGCTTGCCAGACAGACAGAGAGAGACAGAGAGACAGAAAGCAAGAAATCACCCCCCGGGGGGATGGCCACACCACAATCCCTTCTCCTCCATTCTCCTCTCAGGATCTTGGGCACGCACGCATATGCGCCCAGCATGAGTTTAAGCCACTAGGTCCCGGGACTGGAACCGCAGCCAACTACGTGGGAGTCCAGCGACATAGCCATTACGGTAACCGCTGGTCCCGAAACTGTTACATTTTTGTAAGAAAGCACAGTGATTTTTCTTTTCTTTCTTTTTTTTTTTTAGTTTTTTTGCCATAGGGTGCATGTGCTTGCCAGAGAGAAACAAAGTCATCAAGCACCCCCGCCCAGGGACGGACATGCCACAATCCACACTCTCCTATCAGGATCGTGGGCATGCATGCATATGCAAAAACCTGGCATGTTTTTCAAGCCTTTGAGTCTGGGATTTGAACCACACAGTTGTCCATGTGGGATCCAGCGGCCCTAATCCCCATGCCATCTGCTGGTCCAGGTGCACAGTGACCCACTCACCAGCTCCCCTGCTCACTCCCCACCTTGAAAATACTGGCTCATCACTGGTGCAAGTTGCTGGAACCAGAGAGATCAATTCAGACCTCACTCGAAGAATTGTTGGTGGACGTGTGGACCTAGTCGGTGGACATGTGGTTCTATTCAGTGGATGTGTGGTTCTATTCAGTGGACGTGTGGTTCTAGTCGGTGGACGTGTGGACCTAGTCGGTGGACGTGTGGTTCTATTCGGCGGACGTGTGGTTCTAGTTGGTGGACGTGTGGACCTAGTTGGTGGACGTGTGGATCTCATCAGCGGACGTGTGATTCTAGTTGGTGGACGTGTAGTTCTAGTTGGTGGATGTGTGGACCTCGTCTGTGGACGTGTGGACCTAGCCGGTGGCTCCCTTAAAGAAAAGCTCAGAGGCTTAATTTTGTTTCAGGCTGCCTCAGAGCCTCCTCGGGGCAGAAGGGGCTCTCTAGGCAATGTGTCTTGATAGCATTTAACGCAAACGAAATACTTTCAGCCACCCGAGACAAGGAATCTTTACTAAATACCTTGAGAAAAAGGATGCTGAGGAAGAAAATTCTGGGGAGCAGGGCTCTGAAAAGCTCTCATGTACCAGGAAATCTACAAAGCTACACCAATGACCAGAACTGGACGCATGCCCAGAAAACACCAGAGGAAAACCTCAGATCACATCGCTAGCTGGTCTTTCGGCTCCACACAAGCAGGAAGTTAAGACCAAAGCAGGACTGTAAACAGCCTCGCTGTGAGGAAGACAGCCGCTCTGCAGAGAGGTGGTGGTTGGTGTTTCGTGTGTGTGGCTCCGGGCATTTACGGAAATCTTCCTCGAGTCACCAGCTGACAGATTGCCAACACACGGCGAAGAATACAGACTTCATAAAAACAGTTTAGAAAAGTCACTAAATGGCCCACAAGCAGCAATGACAATCTAAAGGGAGCGAGTAAGCTCATTTCCAGACCTGCCACATTTTGATGTTCAAAATGTCCATTTTTCAACAACAACAACAACAAAATGAAGCATGAAAAGAAACAAGCAAGCATGGCTTATTCACAAATAAATTTAGGGGCTGGCAGGTGGTGTGGTGGTTAAGGGGGCTGGACTCCCACATGGTCGACCATAGTTCAAGTCCTGGCCCTGGTGGCTTGCTTTCTTGCTTTCCTTCTCTTTCTCTCTTGCTCGGTCCATCTCTGGTCAAGTTAAGTAAATAAATAAAGTTAAATAAAATACTCCTTTAAGGGACCAGCAGTTAGCGTAATGGCTATGTCACTGGACTCCCATGTAGTCGACTACGGTTCAAGTCCCAGACCCAGTGGCTTACACTCATGCCGGGCGCATGTGCATGTGTGCCCAAGATCCCGAGAGGAGAATGGAGAAGGGATTGTGGCGTGGCCATCCCCCCTGGGGGGTGATTTCTCGCTTTCTGTCTCTCTGTGTTTCTGGTGAGCGCATGCGCCCTATGGCAATAAACCTCTTGAAAAAAAAAATTACTCCTTTAAGATAAATAAATTTAAATGAAAACTTTCTCAGAGAAAGCTCAGACATTGTATTACCCATGGAGGGTGCTTTTTCTCTTTCTCTCTCTGTCTCTGGAGAGTACATGGGTCCTCTGGCAATAAAGGAAAAGAGAAAAAAATAAATGAACTGTCCTAAGTATGCTCAAAGAGTTCCAGGAAATCATAGACAAAGAACTAAAGGGAGCCAAGAGAAAGATGTCTCACCAAATAGAGAATATTAATAAAGTCAGAAATTATAAAAAGGAAGCTGATCGAAACTCGGGAACTGATAACTACAAAAATTGAAACAAAAATTCACTAGAGGAGCTCAACAGCAGATTCGAGCAGGCAGAAGAAAGACTCAGTGAACTTGAATGGGTCCATTGAGATTACCCAGGCTGAAGAATGAAAAGAAAAAAGAATGAAGAAAAAGTAAGCAGAGCCTAAGACACCTGAGACGCATCATCAAACATATGAACCTGTGTATAATGGGAGTCCAAAAGGAGAGGAGAGAGAGAAAGGGGAAGAAATTATATATTAAGATATAACCTTCGAGGGACCAGCAGTTGGCATAATGGCTATGTTGCTGGACTCCCATGTAGTCGACCGCGGTTCAAGTCTCGGACCCAGCGGCTTAAACTCAAGCCAGACACGTGTATGTGCGTGCACAAGATCCTAAGAGGAGAATGGAGGAGAAGGGATTGTGGTGTGGCCATCCCTCCTGGGGGGTGATTTCTCGCTTTCCGTCTCTGTCTTTCGGGCGAGCACACATGCCCTATAGCAAAAACCTCTCCAAAACAAAAAAAAGATATAATCTTCCAAAGCTTCCAAAATTTAATGAAAGACACGAATCTACACATTTAAGCTCAAGAGACTCCAAGTAGAGAAATACAAAGAGATCCACACTAAGGTATATTATGAGCAAACTGTCAAAAAACAGAATCTTAAAAATAGCAAGAGAGAAGTCACTCGTCACATACGAAGACTCCTCCAGATCAACAAATAGGATTAAATAATTATAATATATAACTATCATTATAAAACCCAGAAGAGGGGCCAGTAGTTAGCGTAATGGCTATGTCGCTGGACTCCCACGTAGTCGACCGCGGTTCGAGTCCCGGACCCGGTGGCTTAGACTCACGCTGGGCACGTGTGCGTGTGTGCCCAAGATCCCAAGAAGAGAATGGAGGAGAAGGGATTGCGGCGTGGCCATCCCCCCTGGGGGGTGATTTCTCACTTTCTGTCTCTGTCTGTCTGGTGAGCGCACACACCCTGTAGCAAAAACCTCTCCAAAAATAAATAAATAAATAAATAAAATAATAAAACCCAGAAGAAAACAGAAATAAACCTTTATGAACTTGAATTTGGCAATGGTTACTTAGGCATAACACCAAAAGCATAAGCAATAGAAGAAGAAAAAAATAGACAAATAGACTTCATCAAAATTTAAAACATTTGTGCATCAAAGAATACTCTCAACAGAGTATAGATAATCCATAATACGGGAGAAAGTATTTACAAATCATGTATCTGATAAGGGTTGATATCGAGACTATATAAGAAAACACTTATGACTCAAGAAAGTGTTCAACAACAAAAAAAGCATTCAACGAAAAGAAAGAAAATCAACCTAATTTTTTTTTTTTTTTTGGTTTTTTGCCATAGTGTGCACGCACTTCCCAGAGAGTGAGAGGGAAAATGAGAAATCATCTCCCAAGAAGATGGCCATGCCACAATCGCTTCTCCATTCTCCTCCTGGGATTTTGGGCATACACACACACATGCCCAGTGTGAGTTTTAAGCCGCCAGGTCTGGAACTCAAACTGCAGTTGGCCATGTGGGAGTCCGGTGCCTTAACCACTATGCCACGTGTTGGTCCTGAATTGACCTAATTTTTAAAACAACATTGGGGGCCTGTAGGTGGCATGGTGGTTAAGGTGTTGGATTCCCACTTGGCTGACCATGGTTGGAGTCCTAGATCCAGCAGCTTAAAAAACTCCCTGAACCTGATGGTTTGCTTTCTCTCTTTCTCTCTCTCACTCTGCCCCTCTCTGGTCAAATTAAAATAAATAAATAAGTAAAGTTAAATAAAATAATTATTATAAAAAAAAAAAAAAACTCTAGATAGGGACCAGAAGATGGTATAATAGTTACATCACTGGACTTCCATATAGTTGACTACGGTTCAAGTCCTGGACCCAGCGGCCTAAAACTCACGTTGGGCACATGTATATGCATGCCTAAAATCCCAAGAGGAGACTGGAGGAGAAGTGATTATGGTGTGGCCATGCCCCCAGCAGGTGATTTCTCCCTTTCTGTCTCTCTGCCCCTTCTTGTGAACACATGTACCCTATAGCAAAACTCTCTCAAAAGAAAAAAAAGAAAAGGGAACCAGCAGTTAGCATAATGGCTATGTCGCTGGACTCCCACGTAGTCAACCGCAGTTCGCGTCCTGGACCCGGTGGCTTAAAACTCACGCCGGGTGTGTGTGTGTGCGTGCCCAAGATCCCAGGAGGAGAATGGAGGAGAAGGGATTGCGGCGTGACCATCCCCCCTGGGGGGTGATTTCTCGCTTTCTGTCTCTATGTCTCTGTC